TTTTTTTGGGTCCTGCGGCAGAAATCTGGGTCGGTAAGAAGAGGCTCGGAGGCACTGGTTGGTGGATCAACTTATAAAAAATAAAAATAGAAACTTTAAAAAAGATGAAAAAGAAAATTAAGAAAGTATTCTTTGCTGTAAACATCCTTTTCAGACTCTAGTTTCCTCTTCAGGACAGCCTGTAATTTCGTTCAAAACACACGCACAAAAAGAAATTGAAAAAAAAGTCCAAAACATAAGTTAATGACCTCCTTTAGTGTGAGACTCTCCCCATCCGGTACTGCTACCCCTGCCTTTGTTCCTCATGGGCCCCACCACCCGTACCGTTGTTGCAGCCATCTTATGAGCTCCTTTGCCTCTCCTTCAAATAGGTACAAGTTCAGAACATGCAAGCAATAAGACACTGGTGCAGCATCTTTGAATATCGCATCGAGACAGTTGACAACAACCAAAAAGAGACAAAAGTACCTTTTTTTTTTCGGGATTTCATGCTCAGCTGCACGCACAGAGCACAGCAGCACGACCAAGAAATTTTTCGATGTGTAAAAACTACTAAAAAAGTATTAAAAAAAAACGATGTGTATTTTGAAGTGTTTGCAGTGTATGTTGCAGTGTGTTCTTAAACCCCGTTAAACCCTACTTATACCCCTCTAGAGCCCCGAGGTGAGACACCACCAAATTCAAGTATCAGGCCGGATTTTAGCACGTCTAGGTGGGTGCAAAAAACGTCCCACAATCAATTCTTTCTTTTTCCTGGAGGTGGTGAGGTGGGGGGAGGGGGGGGATAACTCATTTTTTGACTTGCCCCGTTGAGTCGGGCAGGTAGGTTGAGGCTGCCCGCCGGCAGGCACAGGTGGCCCAGCCAGGCATTTGCCGCCCAGCACCTGGGTAGACACAAAGAAAGAAAGATTCACAAAGAACACCTTGCAACTGGGGACCGCAGACGGGTGTGAAAAGCAAAACAGGTCAGATACTAAGAACCTGAAAGAAGTCGTTTATTAGTGATAAACAATAAACCAAGAAACAAACCCAATAACCCAAGCCCTGATGATGTGCGCACCCTACAGCATGCCAGCATTAAGGGCAACTTGTTGAACACTGAACGAGCTTT